GTTTTGAGGGATACAGCGCATTGGGTTTTCATTTGTTACTTAAGATCATGTCGATTGAGGGACAAATTATTAGAGAGAAAATTAGGTCAAAAGATTATGTGGATGGTCCAGAGCGGGATTAGTAAAATAGCACCTACGCTACAAGTTAATTTCACTTTCTATAATGATTTAAAAGTAATACTATTTAACCATTTGATCCTTTATTCTTTTTCTCTCTCATGTATGATATTTCATGTGCACTGAGACATTGTGTTTCATGCAAACGTTGTGTTTCATCTATCACCACCAGTATAACATTCATTATATCCGCATTCTATATTGCGGTTTGACCAATAGGGTGATGCTCTCCATTTGGAACATCATGAATAGAGTTGAAAACTTTTGTTTTTTTTGTCATTTAAAATATTATATTAAACATGGTAGAATATCATAATGGAATAACCATGATGAAATACATAGAGGTATACAAAGATGGAATACAGAGCCGGAACAAATTCTCGAGACTAAGCCCAAACGAGAGAAACATGTAGAAACCTAAAAACATAGCCGAACTAAAAACGAAAAGGGAATCAGTCCCAAAGCCTTACTTCAATGAACTGTAGTGAGACAAACTTGGTAGCCTCCTTTTCTGGAATTGAAAGGCTCCCTCATAAGGCTTTGGCCAACTTCCCACCCTTTTAGATGTTGAAACACCTTAGGGTACATCATGCTCCACCGGCTCAAGCGTGGGCTGGGAGAGTGAAACAACCAAATGACAAAAGTCTTAGAAGTATAACCACTACAATAATCTCTTCTAATGGCAAACCTAAGGTAAATATATTGGATGCTGTGTTTGCCTGAGGAGCAAAGGCTTATAAAGAATTCCTAGTAGGTTATTTCTTTGGTAGAACGCCTCCAATTAAAGTGCTCAAAATGTCCTTAACCATATATGGGAAAGAGGTAAAAAGATTGAAGTCCATGTTGATCTCCTGGCTAGATCAATGTTAGTGAAGGTACTAAATAATTTCACCCGATAAAAAGTATTACAAACAAAATATTTTTATATAGATATATCTTATGTTTGTAGTGGTTCCCAGATCCGCTTTCCCTTCCTCTGCTTCGTCATAATTAGTCTCACTCCCACTCTAGGCCCATGTTACAGACATTCCCTTTGACTCATGAAGATCTATGTTTTGTTGTTGATGATATTCTTGGAGTTCTATACGAAATGGTAGACAACACAGAATATTACTATTAGTTTAGCGCACACATAAGGTTTGAAGCTGATCTTACTAAGTCTCCTGCCTGATTCATTAGAATTGGAGAAGAAAAGTGGAAATTATAATTTACCAGGTGACATACCAATGGATCGCTCCTTATCTTACTGCAAAAAAAAAATCTATATTAAAAAGCAAATGTCACAAAGACCAATTTACGAAGACAAATTTACAAAGAAAACTAAAAGCAAATGTTACAGAGACCAATTAGAGAGGGAAAGTGGAAATTATAACCTTTGAGGTGACATTATCCATGATTTAGCCACTTTACAATATGAAAATTAATTTTAACTTTCCCGCGCGCGGGTTTATTTTCTAGTAATAACTAAAAGCAAATGTTACTAAGACCAACCACATTTTGAAATCAACTCATGTTATGTTTACTATTTGACATATGAAACAGATTTAGCCAATGTACAACATGTAAATAATACTTTTCATTTCATGCAAGACAACGTACGTTTTGTTTTCTAGTAATAATTCAAAGCAAATGTTACGGGACCAACCATACATTGAAACAAACTTATA